TTGGTCATCGTCCTCCATGTCCTCGCTGTCATCGCACTGAGGGCACATTTCTGTTGGGGGCTCACGGAAGGACAAGTGTTGGAAGAAGGGGTCATGGGCCATCTGGAATTGGTTAGCAGTATGTCCAACCGCACTCAAGGCACATTCACATGCAGAGCAAATGACGCTTGCTACTTGGGAAACCTAACATCTACCGGTAAGATGTACCGGTGCAGAGGATGTCTTAAATTCCGAGGAAGGGTGATCAGCCCGGGGGTGTTGGTTCAAGGATCAACAGTAACCTTTAATTCTGCAGCGCGCATCTGTGCATACCATCAGGGGAATGGTACTTGCATACAAAATGGCACAAATTGGAGTATGAAGGTTGATCACGATTTCTGGATCAGGAATGGAACTGTAATCACAGGAGGACACGCCTATTTGTACATATTCTGGGTGCTGCCCGACACAGCTAGAGCTACGCAGACAGCTGTAGCTCCCCTGGTTCACACTTGTCAACAAATGGGACAAATAAGGGTAGCCGAATATGTGCGATGGACTGTGAAATTCCCTCCTATTCCGCCTTGCAACAGGAGGAGGCGAGCATGGTATGACACCGTGCTAGGAGGAACTGGAACTTTGTATGGTCTGGCTAACACAGCAGACAATGAGGTAACACGAACTATGCTGTCCAACACTGGAGAATACACCGCACAAGCTGTCACCAAGACTGCAAGATGGATGCCTTCGACTGTATCTAGTCAGTTAGAAGGAAGTGATGTGTGGAAAAGTGTATTTAAATGGAATCTAAAGCTTTGGAATGAAACTTATGATGCATTGCATAATTTGTCACACATAGGTAATTGGACAGTCTGTTCCTTGCAGACTATTCATGCTGAGACACAAAGAAATAGGTTTCAAATACAGGTAATGAGTAATAACTATCATGCATGGCGAACATTATGGAACATCAGTAGTTCATTATGGCTACAGCCACATGCAGAAATGACGATTTGTAATAAATCTATGTGTACTGGATACTGGGATCAGTATAATATGACATCAGTAATGACTGTGTGTAGATATCAGATACTGCCGGTGATAACCACTAAAGGGTTTTGGTATCTCCATGTTAGTGGAGAGTGGTGGGATGTTAAAACAAATCGAACATATGAAGTAAAACACTGTGATGAGACTGATAAGGGTTTAGCCTGCCCATTGGTAAAAGGACATAGCAATCCATGTTTCACTGATTCAAGGGTCGTACTCTGTGATTGGACGGTCACACCCCCAGAGGAACAGTTTTGGCAGGTGGGTCCTAACACCTTATGCGTGGCTACAATGACCAATTCCCCACAGGTACCTTCAGTTCCCTTTTCAGGTTTTCTCAAGGGTATACATATGTGGGAATGGAATAACGTGACCTATTGGTTGAGTAATTACACTGTATCTAGTCGGCTGACTAAGATACAATGGGAGGTTTTACACTCCCCTTGGACACTCTCACTGGAACGATTCAAATGCGCATTGGATGGTTCCACTGAAGTGGCAAAATTGATCGACTCTCATAGGTCCAACCTTTCCAGGCTCATGGTGTCTACTCTTGTGGCACAAGGGGAAATAAAACATGTTGCTACATTCCGCTCATCATTGGTGGGATATATTTACAGGCATGTCGAGTACCGCTAATAAAGTGCTAATTCCACCTATGATTGCAGATAATCAGCATTCTAACATTGTGTAATCTTATTATTTGTTGGTATGTTATTCGATTAAGAAGAGAAATAAATTGGGTAATAATGCAAAGACTACGATGAAAATTAAAGTGGAACTACAAGGTATGTTATAAATGACGTTGGTTTTGATGGGGAAATGGTGATGGATATGTTACATAAATTAGAAGAAAAGTTCAAGAGTGGAATGTAATAAAAATGAACTTGTCATCTGTTGTATAATTGCTTTATATAAGTTATTGATCACTACTGTTTGTCAATCACACTTATCATGAGGATGTAATCAAGGGTAATCATGGTAGAGCCGAACATAATGTGATCATGAGGATGTAATCAAGGTAATCATGGTGGAGGTGTGCAGCTTTGCACGCACATCAGGGAATGTATAAGGAGCAGAGGAGGGCTCAGAGAGTTAGAGCTGCTTGAAGGATTCTACCTGACGAGGTTCATGGATTACATGTGTTCAGTTCTTCACCTATCATGGATTACGTTTTCTAACTGGGGTGTTCAGCTCTCCACCCATAAGCAACGGTAAGAGAAATGTTTCGTTCATGATTGATAACTTGTATGAATGCCGGTTGAATAAAGCCTTGTTGTTCATCTGATATTCAAGTTGTGTTTCATTGTTTCTGGCGTCGACTTGACAACGATCCTGACTAAATAAATATAAAGTGTAAAAAGAGACTTTGAGTCTTTTAAGGTAATTAAAATAAAATAAAACATTTTATTTTAGAACAGCAGTCAATGCAAAGTGCCTTGTGGATCTCATGCATGTACATAAGCTGGCTTGTTGCAGCGCTCCGCCAATGACGATGGGGACCATAGATCAAGGAAGATCAAGGAAGCACAGTTACACAGAAGCAGAAATTCAGGTACTTGTGCGTGAGGTGGAGAAATGAAAGGAAGTGCTTTTGCAAAACAAATAAGAGAAAATCCACGGAGTGCCACAGCGTTGCTGAAGCCGTCAATGTTGTGAATTCTTCAGAGAGATCTGTGGCAGATATAAAAAAAATGATCCGATCAGGATTCGATCCCCAGACTTCCAGGTGAGAGTCATGCGTGCTAACCAGTCAGCCAAATGGAGATCACCCTTGTCCACCTAGCCAGGGTGCATCATTAATAAGGTCACAGTGACAGGACACACACTGTCACGGACACATGACATTCTGTCTCAATCTGCCCCCTGCTGATATTCTGCATTCCGTATTCTGCGCTTCAGGCTGTGTGTGTGTGTGTGTGTGTGTGTGTGTGTGTGTGTGTGTGTGTGTGTGTGTGTGTGTGTGTGTGTGTGTGTGTGTGTGTGTGTGCGTGCGTGCGTGCGCGCGGTCTTGTTCTGTGTGAAAACGAAGCAGTACAAGTGATAATGCTGCAGGATTTCATAATATCATCCTTCTCAGCAGCAGCACTGCAGGTGCTCCTCATGTCCAACATGTGTGTACGCCAGGTCCTTAGTCAACTTAAAGTTGTGCACATTGTTCCTCTAAGTTTTCTTTCATAAATCCCAAAGTTTGCGTGGAAAGTTGTTTACGCAGTTTTCTGACCCCATTTTGTGCGTAAGCAAGCTTGATAAATGAGGCCCCAGAACCAGGATCTGTAAATGAACCCTGATGCTGACTGGCAGCCAGTGAAGCTGGAGGAGAAGCGGGGTGATGTGGGTGTGTTTGGAGGATTTGGTCAGAAGCCGAGCACAGGCATTCTGAACCACCTGTAGACGGTTCAGGGAGGTTCTGCTCAGACACGTGAAAAGTGAGTTACAGTAGTCTAAGCGTGAGGAGATGAAGGAGTGGAGAACTGTCTCAAGTTCAGAGCGGGACAGAATGGGACTCAGCTTTGCAATGTTCCTGAGATGGAAGAAGGAAGACTGAACAAGAGAACTGACATGAGAATCCAGGGTGAGAGCTGGGTCAAAGGTCACGCCAAGATTCCTGACAGAAGGTTTGGTGTGAGAAGCAAGCTGACCAAGAGAGTCTCTGACTTTGGGAACCAGCTTGTCTGGGGCACAGATGAGGATCTCAGTCTTATCTTCATTCAGCTGAAGAAAGCTCCCAGCCATCCAGGTTTTGATAGAGTCTAAGCAGGTGTGTAACAGCTGCAGCTTAGACATCTCATGGGGCTTAAAGGAGATGTACAGTTGGATGTCATCTGCAAAAAGGTGGTAGGAGATTCCTTTGAAGGAGCTCAGGATGCGCTGAAGAGGAAGCAGATAAAGGAGGAAGAGTAAAGGCCCCAGCACAGAACCTTGTGGGACACCATGCGTGAGGAAAGTGGTAGAGGAACTAAACTTGGTGATGACCACAGAGAAGGAAGGCTCAGACAGATATGAGGGGAACCACTCCAGAGAAAATTCTGATAGGCCTACCCATTTTCTCTGCCTCTCCAGTAGCAGGTGATGGTCAACAGTGTCGAAGGCTGCAGTCGGGTCCAGCAGTAAACTAGATCTATTAAACCTAACATGGATTTTTTAACTAGGCTGTAAATGTGTTTATTTCTGCTGTGAAAATGGCATTTTTAACATGGGAGTCAATGAGGTCACTTCAGCTGCCAGCCCCTAGTGGTTGATGGTGGAACTACAATTTTTGCCACTTCCTTGTAAGCTTCATAACATTCAGACCTCCTTGGCTCTGACTTGTGAGAACGTCTCAGAAATACCAGCTCAGTGGTTCCAACTGAGAGACTTGTCACCAGAGTGTCTCCAGCTGGTCTCAACCAGACCCAGTCACATCCTTGTTTATCGCAGCTCCACCCTTAAGCTGCTCGCTCTAACTGCTAATCTAAAGGTTTACAAATGCTTGTCAGAAACTGATTCACTTAAACTTCCTGAAAAGCTTTGTTCCTGATCCAGATGTTAGACTGATCCATGGAATAAATCAGGTGAGAAGGATGATCTACTCTGAACAGGGTTTAATTTGTAGAGAAACACAAACATCCTCCCTAGTGAACTTTGACTTTAAACTCCAGAAACACACAGTTCTGTTTTCATTTCCACTCATACGAGGGTTAATGCATCAGATGATGTGACTGTGGAGGATCAGAGAAGGATCGGTGGCTGGAGATGTTCATATTACCCAATTAATCAGAGATTAACAGAGATATCTGGGATGTGAAATCAATGCAATCTATCACCACACAGTTATCTGGGCTCAAAACAACCACTGACATTCATCATACGCTGGAGAGATGGAGCTTTCTGTTTTACTGACGGACCGATCTGCTCCCAGATGATTACAGACCTGCTTTATTTACACCGATACCGAACAAAAGCCCGCTCCTAACTGATCAATGACTTACTTCACGTAGAAATCCAGATGGCGTGGGAATTCCAGCTTTCCAGAGAGAATCTTCTGGTATATTCCAAATGGGTTGTCGTCATAGAAAGGTGGATACCTGAGGACAGAAAGGAGATTCATCTGGAGCTGGAACAGAGAGTCCAGTCAGGAACAGAAACCAACCTTTTCCAAATGTTTTGAGATAAAGGGCAATTTAGAGAAGTTGCCTAGAATTTAAGCGACTAAAAAGATCCTGGTCTGACCAGAACCTGGTCTCCATGGTAATGATCTGATGGGAGCAGAAGAGTGTGCTCTATTGGAACCAATAAAGTCGGTGTTTTTATTGGAGGTGATAACAAGAAATAAAAATCAGCTGCAGACAGCAGCTTTTGTTCACAGCTCTCTGACCATCTTCTCAGTGTGTGTGTGTGTGTGTGTGTGTGTGTGTGTGTGTGTGTGTGTGTGTGTGTGTGTGTGTGTGTGTGTGTGTGTGTGTGTGTGTGTGTGTGTGTGTGTGTGTGTGTGTGTGCTCCTGCTGAATGCTTCTCTCCCCTTCCTCCCTCTGCTCTGGACAAGTCATTATCCACAAATTACATAATGGCACCAGGCTCTAAACACATCACACACACACACACACACACACACACACACACACTAGACAGGTGCATAATGGCAACAGCTTGCCACACACTGCCAGAGGGTGGGGGATGTATCCTGTCGCGGAGAGCATGTGTGTGTGTGTGTGTTTTCTCTTCCCTGATGCTGTGATGTCTGTAGAAAGTGTGTGAGAGTGGAGGAATGTGTGAAAGCTGACGAGATGGAAAGCTGCTCTGACATTATTTGATGCTTTAACAGCCGTCAGAAGCAAAAACAGCAAGCAGGTCAGAGGATTTGACCCTGTTATCATGTGTGATGTCATACAGGAAGCTTCGGACCATAAGTCTGTTTGTGATGTGACTAAATGTCAGCTGCTGTCTAAAATACAGGTTTATGGGAGGAGAGGACCAACTCCAACTGATGATCAGACAAACAAATTCACCACTTTGTCCAGTTTAAAATAAACGAGGAGTTCTTCACGGTTCTGCGTTTGGTTCTAAACAACTCTAATAAATAGGATGTGAGAACATCCACGGCACAGCATCCACACATCTTTCAGTGTTTTCCTTCAGGGTTCCCCACAGAGAATCCTCTGGCTCCATCTATCCCCTCCCCCTACTTTCTCTTCTGACCCGACCAATCAGCTTCATCTCCTCTTTGGCCTTCCTCTCAGCCGACCTGGTAGCTCCAACCTCAGCATCCTTCTGCAGAGGTTTTCAATATCCTTCTACGTGTCCATATAATCTCAGTCTGACCTCATCTCCAAAACGGCTAACCGTATAGTTACTCACTCATTCACACCTACACCTAGTGGATAACACCAGAACATCCCAGCATCATCAGTCAGGGTTTTAAAGAAAGGTAACCCTTACAGGAACCCTGCTCCACCACAACATCTGATTTAGGCAGACTAGACAGATAGGAGACGAGACGCTTTCAGTCAGTAGAGACTGGTGACTTGTGGACGTGTCTACCCTCAAGTAAATTATATCACACCTAATCAAACACAGTCTTATCCCTGGAAGGAAGTCTTGATCCAAGTTTCTCTAGAGTCTCTGCTTCTAGCTGAGGACAGGGAGCAACCAACATGAGTTCTCTAAAGTTAAAGTTAGAGAACACACAAACCCTCGGTTCATAGTCGGTGTAGAGGAAGGTAAAGATGTAGTAAACTCTAACTAAACTGAACAGAAACGATTCCCGGATCCAGATGTTTCTGTTTGAAGATCTGATGAGATCAGATGAGTGATGCTGATTTAATATTAATCGGAGTAAAATGGACGGATCAAAAAGATGAAAACATCAAAAATCTACCTTATAAATAAACAATCAAGGGTCTTTATATAAACTCCTGAAAAGCATCAGTCCACTACGCAGTGCTGTTGGTTCACTATGACCCATCTAGGCTAGATATTCTCCAGAACCAGAGCGGATCCAGATGTTCTCCACTGGTCTCTGACCAATGGGAAGCCTGAAAGACTCGCAGAAGTGGTTCTGGTGGAGCGGAGCGCCCCCTGGTGTTAGAGGGGTCCTCAGATTGTGTAGGACTTACCCAGCCAGCATCTCAAAGACCAGGATTCCCAGAGCCCACCAGTCCACCGCTCGGCCGTGACCTTTGCTCTGAATGACCTCAGGAGCCAGGTACTCTGGAGTTCCACACAGGGTCCAGGTCCTGCGGACCACACAGAGAACACCATGTTATTAAGAGTCCATAGTTTACCAGTAACTCCAGTTCCAGGATGTCTCCATCATACAGCTGCATCCTGAAACATCTCCTACAGAAAACGATCCACATCCTTCACCGTGGCTGTTCTGTTGTCTCAGTATGACGCCAAAACCCAAACTGGTTCCATGAAGGTGGCTCTGGTAGTCGGCACAAGGCTCCACACATGAGCAGTGTGAGAGAAGAACCCATAAAGCTCCAGCCCTCATCATGTTTACATACAGAACAGTAAGTGTCTGAAGAAGAGCTTGATTCATGTTCTGGTTCTGCTAGAACCTGCTGCTCATGAGTGAGCAGAGCTGAAACCTCTCAGCTGCAGCTCAGGGTGACCTCATAAGAGCTGATAAAGGGCAGCGGGGAAACACGACAGCCCTGGGTAAAAGAATCCATCAGAACCGCCAGACCCAGTTCTGTCACCTCCTGTAGTTATAGAACTAGAGGTGTGTGAGGATGATGAGGAACACACCCACCCACCCACCCACACACACACACACACCTGCAGATCACAGACTAATTAGGAGGAGGTCCAGAGTGAACAGTGACAGCAGCAGGTTAAAACATACAGCCTGGTTCTGGTTCTGTCTCCCTGCTGTCATAAACAGACGTGTGCAGCTCCTGGTGGCGTGGTGAAGAGCACTTGGCCCACAGCCAGCCCTTCATCAGCTGCCACTGTATCACCTGGATAATGACCTGTTGGCCAGTTGCCACGGGGACAGTAATTTGTATGGAAATACGGGGGGGGGGGGGGGGGGGGGGGGGGCTGCTGCTGATGTAACAGGGAGTGAAGTGTGGGGTTGGTTGGGCTGGAACCAGACACGTGTGTTAGAGGTCTGCCAGCAGGGGGCACTGTGGTACTGCTACAGACCAGCATCCTGGATCAACCGTAAGTCTGACGTTTCCATTCATACAAGTGGGTCAGTGAGGTTTTATCCTGTCTGACCGGCTCCATTAATGTAAAATGGTGACTTTATATTGTATCTATCTGGAGCCATAGATCATTATTACACTAATGAACCAGACAGCAGTGGAGACAACATTTCATAGATGTGTTTTGGAGCTGCCTGTGGGAAAAAAAACCTGCAAAGAAACTAAACCTTTTCCTGTAAACTATTCTTATTCTAACAGTTAGTGCCCTCTAGTGGTCAGAGTGAAGGTGAGATCTTTCTCGTTAACTAAAAGAAACACTGGTGTCATGATGAAGCCTTTGATGGAGGAAGGGAGGTCCAGTACTGGGCAGGATTTAGAGCTCACAGCTTAACCTCACAGCCAAAAGTCTGAAAGGGTTTACAGGTGCAACGTTAGCATCACCAGAATAAAGTAAACACTTTCATAACAAAATCCTCCAAATTACAGCGACACTAAGCAGTCTTAACACTTTAACCAAATCCTTAAAAAGTGGGGTTCAGTCATTGTGCAGGTAGAAAATTGACCAACTTCACATGGAAAGGCCCAGAAACCACTTTTAACAGTTTTGTGGAGCGGGGTGGGTGGCCTAGACTCTTTACCTGCTTAGCGGCTGTTAGCTATTTTCTGTGCTGGTAGCTAATTTAAAGGCCCCATGTGTAAAATCCATTGAAATCATAATAAAGAATGAGACGCTTTAGCACCATGCAGTTCAGAGAAAGTATTGCAGCTACTCACACAAAGCATATTAACTGCTTGACCAGTTTAAAAAAAGCATTTTTAATTATGACTGTTATATCAATCTGCAAGTCCTGAAGGACGTTAGACCTTGAAGCTGTCGTGATTCACACATGGAGGAGGGGTGACGTCAGCAGGGAGGTCAGGTGCTGTGAGAAATTCTGTTCCCCTGAAATATTCTGTTGCACTTCAAGCTATCTTCACAACATTTGTGATGGACTTTCACAAGAATTAATGTAATGTAATGTAATAACGTCATGCTTGTGATGGTTTTTTATCCACATGTCCTCCTAAAAACAATAAAAAGGTACAGTAAAACATTCTTGTTCACTCTTTTGTAGCAAGCTTATTTATCATTTTTGAAAGTTATGTAAAAAGATGTCATGTTTCATTCGAGGTTGTTTAGTCCTCGTAATGGACAATAAGCTCCGTGACTTTGGAAAGATTTGCTCTTGACTGCCTAAAGAAAATAGAATATTTCAGGGGAACATTTATTCTCACGTGCATGAGAGCAGCTTTGTAAACATGCTTACTACCAGCTACTGATGGATGGATGGATGGATGACAGACAGACAGACAGACAGACAGACAGACAGACAGACAGACAGAAAGAAAGAAAGAAAGAAAGAAAGACAGACAGAAAGAAAGAAAGAAAGAAAATCTTTTATAGAGTGATCACTGGCAGCGCCATGGCTAGCGGAGGGTTAGCAAAATAGGGACACTGTGGAGATTAATGGGCCATTCCCATCTGTACCGGGTCGGCCCGGGCCGGGTAGCCCCAGTCGGCCCCAGCCTGGCCCGGTTGATTCCACACATCCTTGCCTTAAGCCCATGTGGGCTGATTCTACCCACCAATCAGAGGCTTGCTCTAATGGAAGGTGTGAATTTGCTGTCAGCAGTGGGTGTGTTGGCCCTGGTCGGCCTGAAGCAGACCCCCTCGAGAAGAGGGCTGAGAATGAGCCTTGGTTGGCCCGGAAAAATACCAGGCCACCCAGATATGTAAACAACCTACGCTACCCGGCCCGGGCTGACCCGGTACAGATGGGAATGGCCCATAAGTAAGCAATGCTGACTTAACCACCAGCTAATCGGGGACATTAGACATTAGACGCACAAAAGAGAGGAGAATCGAGTTGAAGGACTTTGGAACGGACACGTTGGGACTGGATCGGGAGTTCTGGAACGAAGGAAAGACGAACGAGCAACTTGAGGTGATTTAGGGAGTCGGGGGGATACCTCTTGGAGGCTGGTGTCCAGCTAATAGTGGGCGAGAATCTTAACATCTACATATACACTAGGAAGCATTTATACGTATATGCTTCCTAGTGTTTGGACATGATGACGAAATGACAAATTTGACATGTATTTCGATTTTATTCTTTATTATTACAAGTACAGCAATGGTGTAGCTAGTCTCTTCTTCTTTTTAGTTGAATTAGCAGACTCCATGCTTCCAGGGCACACTGCTGCCCTCTGCTGCTACTACTACTACTACTACTAAACTTTATTTATATAGCGCCTTCACATGGTCCAAATAAACATAAAAAATAAAAACATATAAAACCGTTTAAAAACCCACAAAAACATGTAGATAAAATCTAGGTGGGGCAGCAAAAAAGTGCTAAGCCATCCGTTAACGAGACTCTTCTTGGTTAAAAGCTAAAGAATAAAAGTGTTTTCAGCTGGCTCTTAAACTTGGCGAGCGTGGTGGCCTGTTTACCACCTGTAGGTAGCTCATTCCAGAGCCTCGGCCCCAGCACCGAGAACGCACGACCCCCTCGAGATTGTAGTCTGTGTTTAGGAACAATCAACAGTCCTTGCTGTGCTGACCGAAGGTTCCTTGAGGGAACATAAGGATGGATCAGATCCGATAGGTGTCGTGGAGCCAACTCATGTAAACATTTAAAAACAAACACCAGAACTTTTAACGAAATTCTAAAAGTGACTGGAAGCCAGTGTAGGGATGCCAAGACGGGCGTGATGTGTTCGGATCTCCTGGTACCAGTCAGTAACCTGGCTCTTTCAGGTTACCGTCATAGTCCAAACACACAAATCGGAGCTCGTATGTCCCTAAACAGCTACTGTATTTCACGATAGTGAATGACCATGGAGCGTCGACCACAGTTTATGTATTTAAAAATGTAAAATTTCAAGCTGAGAGGAATTCTTAGAATTGATGTTGGTGAGAAATATTACTTAAAAAGGACACGTTTGTGAACTGGAGACACAGGATTTATAGTAACCAAGTAAAAGTTCTACAACCCGTGTCTTCTGAAGGAAGTTTGATCACAGCCATCAGTCAGAACTCACCATTCCTGTTCACTAGTGTGACAGAACGACACATATTCTTAGTTTCTGGTCTCAGAGCAGCAGAACCTGGTTCTACCGCTGCGTAGTGAGGAGTGGCAGCCGCTTTGGTGTCCACTTCCAACTGACAGTCAGTCAGACATCCTGAGCTGAGAACAGAGCCCAGTTGTCAATCAGCAGCTGTAGCAACACCACCTGCTGCAGGATTCAGGGATCCTGTCATCATCAAACACCCTCAGTGCTCTGATCACTGACATCACACACACACACATTGAACAGGCTGAACTTTCACCTCTACCTGATCCAAGCAGCTTCATGAAGTAACCCAAGTACCACATTCTTATGACTCCATTACCAAAGTCGGTGAGTAATCTAAAACTGGATCCGTCTGAGGATCTGACTGAAGCCCAGAGACGGCGTGTCTCTCTCACCTGTCAGAGAGCTTCTTGGCAAAGCCGAAGTCGGTCAGACGGATGTGTCCCTCGCTGTCCAGCAGGATGTTCTCAGGCTTCAGGTCTCTATAGACTATCTCTTTGGAGTGGAGGTACTCAATAGCACAAACGATCTCAGATGTGTAGAAAAGACCCGTGGAGTTGGTGAATCGGCCACGAGTGCGCAGGTAGCTGAAGAGCTCACCACCTGGTACATAGTCTATCAGCATGTAGAGGAACCGCTCATCGTGGTGGGTCCAGAACCTGCAGGGCAACAAGGTGGATTGTAGCTGAGATGTTCTACTGATGGGCAGAGAAATCCAGTTTCAAATCAAAACCCTAAAGTTCTCCTTTGAACTGACGCAGCTCTAGTAGACCAAACGCAGCAGGACCTGGGCTGGGAGGAGACGAGGAAGGAGAAGTGGGGTTTCTGGTTAAAGATCTCAAAACTGTGTTTTAAGTTGGGACTTCACATGACTGGATATAGACTCTGAACCACCGGAGAAGTGAGATAATCTAACTGAACCCTGTGGAAATTTTGGTCCATCAGACTGGTTCTGACAAACCCACCAGTTTATAAACCAGAGGACTCACAGCCTGATGAGGAACGGATGGTTGATCTCTGTCAGAACCTCCTTCTCGTTGTGGACGTGCTGCTCCTGCTTCAGTCGGATTACGTCAGAGATCTTCATCTGCTTCAGGGCAAAGAAGGCCTGGCTTTTCTGGTCCTTGACCAGGAAGACTCGACCAAAAGTCCCCGTGCCTGGGGAGTGGGGGAGGAGAGGATTAATCACCATGTTGTTATAATCAAACACGATGTCCAACCTCACAAACCAGAGTGAGACCTCTCAGAATGACACTCATGCTGGAGAACACAACCCCTCCAACCCTAACCGTGTTACACTGCTCCGTGTGTCCTATATAAGTCGAACTATCTGAGGTTTTGTCTCTGAATTATACAAAAACCTCCCTGAATCTTTGTACCAGGCTTTGTGTTTTCATCTCCATCACTTCAGACACTGAATGCTTTCTGACCGCTCCACAAGAAAGCTGATACTCCAGGTCCACAGAGAAGATGTCCAGAGATGGTGTAAGCTGATGCTGCTGCTTTTGTTTGCTACTCAGACTCTGGTACAGATCCAGAGGGAGACCTGAGTTTAACCCTGAGGGACGAGCAGGGTCCTGATTCTGGTCCTGATACAGACCAGCTCTCTCTAGAGACAAAACAAAGACTGACATTATACACCAGACCGACGGATTTTCTTCTCAAACCACATTTTCCTCACGGACCGGTTGACTGTTTGGTTTTAGGACAGAGTAGAAATACTCACGGTCTTATAAACAAACAGTTGGTGATTTAGGATTAAAGTTTCATTCCTTGTTTGATCTGGATGACCTACCTGATCCTCCATGTTAAATGTAGATGTTCATCACAAATTAATTAAAACATTATTGTGTGCTGATGCTAGAGTTACACAACATATCTGAACCAGCTGAAATCTGCTGCTGTAAAATAATCTGATCATTAATGTTCCAGCTCCTTTTTGAACATTTTAATCCCACAGGATGTGTGGAGGGCATCCGTTTGGGTGGCCTGAGGATCAGGTCTCTGCTTTTGCAGATGATGTGGTCCTGTTGGCTTCATCAGAACGTGATCTTCAGCTTTCGCTGGAGCGGTTCGCAGCCGAGTGTGAAGCAGCTGGGATGAGAGTCAGCTCCTCTAAATCTGAGACCATGGTCTTGATTCGGAAAAGGGTAGAATGCCTTCTCCGGGTCAGGGATGAGGTCCTGCCCCAAGTGGAAGTTTTAGTATCTCTGAGTCTTGCTCACAAGTGAGGGAAAATTGGAGCGTGAGCTCGATAGGCGGATTGGTGCTGCATCTGCAGTGATGCGGGCGTTGTACCGGTGTGTCATGGTGAAGAGAGAGCTGAGTCAGAAGGCGAAGCTCTCGATTTACCGGTCGATCTACATTCCTACCCTCACCTATGGTCATGAGCTTTGGGTAGTGACCGAAAGAACGAGATCGCGGATACAAGCGGCCGAAATGAGTTTTCTCCGAAGAGTGGCTGGGCTCTCCCTTAGAGATAGGGTGAGAAGCTCGGTCATCCGGGAGGGGCTCAGAGTAGACCCGCTGCTCCTCCACATCGAGAGGAGCCTGTTGATGTGGCTCGGGCATCTGGTCAGGATGCCTCCTGGACGCATCCCTGGTGAGGTTTTCCGGGCACGTCCAACTGGGAGGAGACCTAAAGGTAGACCCAGGACACGGTGGAGGGACTATGTCTCTCACCTGGCCTGGGAACGCCTTGGGATTCCCCCGGAGGAGCTGGCCCAAATGGCTGGGGAGAGGGACGTCTGGGCCTCTCGCTTTAGGCTACTGCCCCCGTGACCCGACTCCGGATAAGCGGATGAAAATGGATGGATGGATGGATTAAACCCTCAGGACTTAAGGCCAAGAGACCAGACAACAGCTCCTGTTTTTACTTTATTACTGAAACAGTCCATTTGTCTCTCAGCAGGATGGGCCTGATTATGAAGGACAGTCGGGCCAGGTCACAGCGAGCATGGACGACTCCAGCTCCATCCCGTCTCTGAGACTTCTGAGTCCTGCTCTGAAGGAAGCATTAAGTGGTCGATAACAGAATGTGATACAACATCTACAACATGCTGCCTCTCGTCAGCTACGATGAGCCTGTTGTTTCAGACATGGGGTTGTTGCCATGGCAACTAGGATACAAAGACGCACAGATGCAGTCAGGTGAATCTTTGTTTTCTGAATAGTTTTAGAAATAAAGTAACCTGTTTATTGTAAATAAACATCCCCACGCACCTGCAGGCAGGTGACAGAAGGTCTGATCGGCGTGCTGCCTCACAACCCAAATGGATCAAATAGTTTATCTGGTCCTTAACTAGTCATTATAAATGTTACATCAGAAAACCGCTGGAGGACTTGTCAAAGGTAATACAAATTATTTCATTCTGCTGGTGAAGACTAGTCAGAAGAACCAAGCTGATTTTCCATCCAAAGCTCTCAGAGCAACCATGTCTCCACCAGTCTCCAATTAGTCTCAACAAGTCTCCAAATGGTCCTTAACTAGTCTCTACATCTTCAACAGTCACCTATTCTCTAACAGTCTCCATCAATTTCACCAGTCTCCTACAGGTCTTGAAAACCTGACTAGTTCCAAATTTATGTCATCCTGTCTCAAAGATTCTCTAACAAGTCTTTAATTATTCTTCATCAGTCTCAAACTCTTCTCTACCATTGTAACTGGTATCTAACTGGTCTCCAGCAGTCCTAGCCCAGTGGCTTTAGAAGTCCACCTGAACAACAGAACAAGTCTCCATTTGAGACAGAGCAGAACATAAAGTAGAACACAAGGGTCAGAAATGTCAGTAAATCTGAGAACAATTTGATCTTCATGAAAAGTGGATGACTATCTGAGTGTGTTTCTGAATGTACTGTCAGAACCACCACTGAAACCATATTTCAGTCAGACCAGTGTCCACCTGAGATCAGTATTCTGGTGTTGCAGTAAAACATTCTACCTAAGCTGAGAAAAGAAAATAGTGCATTAGAAAAAGAACGAGTAAACACCGGCAGCCACCTCCTCCTGATGAAGAGCTGTGAAACACACACCCTGACTGCCTCACTGAATAACAATGAGCTGCTCCATTTCCCCTCTAACATCTCCACCAAACTCCTCTGGGTCTAAATGGTGAAAAAAAAAAAACAGGTAAATCCTGCTCTCTGGTGTTCGTATCAGAAAGCTGGTCCATCGCAAATCTCATAGGAGCTGAACGAAATGCCTCTTCAGAGAAACTATGACCCATCTACAGACAAATATTTCATCAGAAAAGCGTTGGAGGACCTGCTGAAGGCTGGTGAAGCTTACTTACTAGAATGGGTAACATTTTTCCAGTGCACAGTTTACAAATGACTTTTCGTTTGACCTATTCTCTCCTTGCTTTTCTTGTCCTCCACCAACAACTGGTTCGTTTCATCTGCCGCTGCTGCTGGTTCATCCGGTGGAGGACATGATGTTTCTGGACCCTAAGCATCCAAATTGCTAGAAAGCGCAACTGGATTTGCTGGAGCCTCATACGGCACTGCACAGGTCTAAATAAGGCCAGTCGGGCCGACCGTGACCACTACGCTTGTTGTGGTCATGGACTTCATGGAACTTCTTTTAAAAATTCTATTAGTTTTGAGGTGACTTGTTTTTTAACTCTGTTGATGCCATGCTCCTTTTGCTTTTGAGTCAGACGGTCAAATAGGTGGCTGTTCTTCAAAGTCCCTGTAAACTGTGTGGCACCTTCTGTTTCTGCTCCAAATGCCAGAAGCGCTCGGATCTCAGTATAACTCCAGTTTGCCATCTCCACCGATTGATTACAAATGCGTAACAGCTCTCCGATGTTTATGTGATTTTTAAATACTTTATACGCTCGGGGGTCGGCGCCCCTTTGCGACATCATTTGTGGCACCTCCATCTTTGCGCCAAGGTGTAATCTTTATTCACAAGTCCGGTGTTGTACCAATATTACTACCAAGTGTAGCGGCTCGAATGTCGCAAACGTCCCGCACCGTCATGCCACCACAGCGCTTTCATTAGACACACCGTGGCAGCAGGATTACGCTGATTGGCCAGCACACTCGTGTGTATTACAAAAGCGGCTAAGGACACCCCACACCCTGCTCCTACAGCGGTTTAACGGGTCTGACTCAAGTACCAGGATGTACAAGCATAAAGAGGGGAAACCCAGACCCTGAATCATGTGGATTAGAGATCAGGGCTACAGATGTTCTAAGTGATGTTCTAAAGGTCAAACAGGCCACATCAACCCTGAGGGTGGTGTGCTTTGTGACAATCAGTCAGCAGATAAAGAGCTTCAGCTGCTTTTTTTTAGGAACAAAATCCATCTCATCAGAGTAAACTGTTGTGTGGACTTATGTGGGGCTATGGCACACCTTCCTACCAGAACCAGACCTCAGGTTTCCTCTGAATGGTTACAGCTAGGATCGGACATGAAAATGTTACAGAGAAGGACCACCAAGTACTGGTGTTCACTTCAGATGATGGGTCCTGTTGCAACAACTTCCAGTGAACATATTGGTTCATCTAGTGGACTGGTGTCTATTCTGGTGTCAGACAGTGGGCCGATGTCTAAAATGTTCCAGAGTAGGGTTGAGCACTGTTTGAAACTGAACAGTTGAGTTCTGTCCTGCAGCGCTCCTCCGTGAGAGCGGGGGTGGGGGGTTGCACACATTCCGCTGCTATTTCTCACCAGTATCAGCTGATGGAGGGCTCTAGTTTCATTGCGCCGTTCATGTCAGCGGACACAGTAGGGTTGGGAAGGGGGGCAGGGCATGACGCTTAGCCTGGCGGGCGGCCAAGCAAAGCCAGGCGGGCCGCCAGGCTTATAAAGCGCTGGGGGAAACCCTGCTACGGATGTCCAGTATTATCAATCTACCACTAATATCGGCCGATATCTGCATTGAAATTTAATATAGGAAAATATCTGTATCAGAGTGTCGACTTTGCTATCGGCGCTGTGTCGACACGGAGCCATGTTGACATTCCCAGAGCCGGGAGTGTTGACAACGGTGGACTCGCAGATCTTTAATCACGGTGGAACAGCAAAGCCCGATTTCCTCGGTCAGCTCACCTAGTTATGATTTTGTTACTAAGCAGGCTGGAGGTGCCTTCACTTAAGAGTTGCTCTACCATGTTTCTTGCTAAAAATGCTCGGAAAATCACTGTTAGG